GAACACGTGTTGAAGAAGTTGATGGATGTACATACTGAGGTGAAGCAGTCGTTGGAAAAGTCAGCAGCCAAGTATAAGGTTTCAGATCTTGAAGAAGATCAATGACAATGCTTATGTTGTTGATTTTCTTGTGGGTATGGACATCTCTAGTACTTTTAATGTGCAAATCTTGTTTGAGTTTCATTTGGATTCCATAAATCGAGAACGAGTTTTTTTTCAAGGGGGGCTGATGTAGAACAGGTGGCTGCTGATTACTTGGAGTAGGAAGACCGCCATGCTTCCAAAACCCAAAGAAAAACAAAAAGGTGATAGTAGAGACAAAATAGCTCAAACTCAAAATTGATTGAGATTAGTGGTATTTGATCTGAATCGGGTTCTTTAGTTTTAAGTCAAATTCCATAGTTAAACCCTCAAAATTATATTTTTACCATTTTAGAATTAATAATAAATCATAGGAGATTTTTGAATTCAGTACCGTTAGTTGGGTTGGACTCCATACAACACGTGTTTTTATGGTAATTAGTTAGATTGTAATTTTTTGTTTTTTGTAATTTTTCATATAATTAGGGATTTTACCTTTATTATGAGAATGATTAAAGTTTTTGTCGTTCTTATATATATTCTCTTATGTAATATGAATTATTCAATGAATAATATACTCTTTTAAAGATCTTCTCTTGTTCTTTTCTCTATGGATTTAGTGTGTGTGTGTTTTATACACTTAGAATCGCAGTGTTCTTCGTGTTCCCTTTGTTCCACTGTGTTATGTACTTAACTGATAATTTGTTAAAAGATGATTTATATGATGATTAATTTTCGAAGTATTATTCTCTCAAAAGAAAAAAGAGCAATATTTTGATCACTATATATTTAGTCTCTCCGCAAAAATGCAATCCACCACAAAATTTCACACATGGACATCTAAAACCCTAGTAAACTACGTATACAAATCAGCCTAATAATGACATATGGGAGGAATTAAGCGTGACCACGCATATTGTTTGCATCATCATATTTAACCAAGACCAAATCTTATCGTTGGTGTAATCTCTACTTCTCAAAATTATTAATCTCCCTCACATTCTAATCTTTGAATTATCAACAACCATACATCAAAACAACAGTTACACGGTAACAATGTGATTGTGTAACAAAATTAGATCAGTGAAGATACTTTCCCTTATTTTCTCTTCTCCATTATAAGTTTCCCTCAATCCCCAAGCCTCTCTTTCTCATTGTGTCCTCTTTCTTCATGTGCAATGTCTTTTCCTCTTCCCGACGAGAAACAATACTGTATCATCCTAGTACCACCTTTTTCTAGTATGAAACTTTAAATTAGCTTTTACATAACCCCACGTGGAGAAATTTTTAAGGATAGTGTAGTGGCTAATTTTGGTCTTTCATAACTCAGAGATCTTAGGTTCAACACTTCTCATAACTCCCTTAAGAGTCAGTAGCCCTTGTTCTTCAGCTGACATGGTTAAACCTGTTTAGGCTATATTGGCCAATATCCAAGCTCGAGTAAGTAATCGATGTAAGTTTGGACACCTTATAGTAAAAAAAAAAAATCCGCATGGGGGGATGTCAAGCCTAATCATTTGATCAACCTCAATTTACTTCATAAAAACTCTAATTGATATAGACAACTACATAAAAATGTAGAGTCAAGTTAGGCACAACTATACGTATAGTCAAGAGAACAAGCACTAACTGAATCATATCAAAGCAAAATAAACTCGAAACGGTTGAAGACAAACCTTATGTATTCATACTAAATTAGGAAAGACAAAGTAAAATTGATCCAAATATAAAACTATTATATTCAATAAACTATCCCTAATCTGACCTTCAAATTAGAATCAAGAAAACCAATTACAAGAGTATGATACTTCACATAATAAACAATGGATACAACAATGACATGATGTGAATTTTTGGGGATTCATTAATTTTTTACATACCAAGAAAAGAACACTTCTCTCTGAGGTTTTGAATTTTGAACCCATGGTTTGGTATTCACAAGCAAGCACACACACGCACACGCACAAAAAAGCCATTTTGGTTATTTTTTGGTTTTTATTATTGTTTGTGGTATTCCAAATAAAGTAAAATCACTTATTGAAATTTCTGATTTAAGACATGTAATGTATAACAAAACAGTAACAATCAAGTACAAAATAGTTACTCATAATATATAAACAGTTACAGAAGAATTAACGAAACAGTTACAATAGTTTTGCCAAACAGTTACACGTAACTGTTTATTTAAACAATATAAATACTAACCTAATTGCAGAATAAGAACTATTATTGAACTTGATGTAGATCAAGGTTATGTCCTTAAAACAGATTCCGCCCCCATACATGGTGCTTATGGAATATCAAGCGTTTGTCTCCTAGGATACAATAATCTTCACACGAATACAAGTAGCATTCCAATCTTCTCGTCTAACAAACCATAATTTTTGTTATGTACTCTCCAAATGCAGACTGTCTTAATACCGAAATGCAATGCACTACTGTCTGACTTAACTCTGAACATGGACTGATGAATGAATGAATACAAAATGATTATGTGATTAGGTTATTTATAGGGAGAATGGTGACTGATCTGGACAGTCACCATCTGAATGGATGTAATCTAGCAGACAGACACATGCAACCAGAAGACACCATTTGTATAACTATTCTCTATGAACAGACACAACTCAGATTTTGTATTGGTGAAAAGCAAAAATTCGAATCAGTGCGATCCAATGGATACCAAAAATTAATTTCGGTTCAAAAATTCTTGTCCAATTAGTTAAATGAATTTTCTTCAAAAAGATAGGGTCTGGTATACCCACACCCAAGCCCGGCCCAGGTCGTGGCATGGTGGGCAAACAGCGCACGCGCGCCTGTGTAATAAAATCGAAGATATGTAGGCACTCGCTCCTATCATAAAATTATGGTACCCCTTGAGACCCAATCTCATAGAGAAAACTAGGCATATATATACCCATGTTGAATTTCTTCCTCAACTAATGTGAAATTGGTGTCAAATCCCACATTGCACAACCTTTATTTTCACATTTCAATATGGTCACTTTGGAGCCCATTTTCTCATTCATTTCTTACTCTATTTGAACAAGTGAATATACTACATTATTCTCCTCCTGGAGTAGAATATGAACTCACGAAACTTTACTTGAAACAATGAACAGGTCCCACTTTAATTTAGGTTCAAAGTCAACCAAAAATTTAATTTTAACACTTAAAAAACTGTTTTGGTCCAAAATTTGTTTTTGCCTCCTCTAAGTTTGTTCTATTTGTTTTTCTATTATTAAATTCTTGCTTTTTAATTTTAATTTTTACCAAGAGTAAATTTTTTTAAAAAAATAATTAGCCCCACTCTCCCTCTCATCTAACTAAAGATTTTTACTTTCATATATGCTCATATATATTTACACACATAATCAATTTCTTAGGAGTTATATTTATTACAAATTTGCACGGATATCGTATTTGGTAAAATTTTGAGCAGTGCTACACTGATCTAAACATTGAACCAACAATAGGTACTAAACGATTTGGCAATGCAATACTGATGTTTTTTTTATCCTACTTTTATTCATGTACTTTCCATGTTAGCACAATCACTTGGTCACCATAACAATTTTTCCTTTTGCCCCTTAGCCTTACTTGAGAGTTGAGACTATAGGAAGTAGCACCAAATCAAGAGAATAAATCTTATATACTCTTTATAGTTTACTGCAGATGGATGCTAATGTTCTGTTCTATTGAATTGGCTTATGCTGTGAAAATTATTGACTTGTAGATTATACATCTTTCTCTACTACCATTACTGTCGACGAAATCTTCTACTATACTTTTCTGAGTAGTTTTTCATATTTAGTTTCGTAAAAAATGAGGATAAGGTTGCATATAATTTACCTTTTTCAAATCCCGCTATAAACTCGATACAAACTTTTTCTTTTCTGCTGGTCTTATCAAACATATCTGGTCATGTNGTTCCTAAAAAATGAGGATAAGGTTGCATATAATTTACCTTTTTCAAATCCCGCTATAAACTCGATACAACCTTTTTCTTTTCTGCTGGTCTTATCAAACATATCTGGTCATGTGTGATTGTTATTATTGTTATAAAAAAAAAAACAAATTGTCATATGTGGTAGTATGTGTATATCAGGCGTTTTCATGCAAATTTGTTAATCTCTATATTCCTTACTTTATTCTGTTTTCATTTTTTTGGTTGGAAAGTTCACTTCATTTAGGCCCCAATATTATTCAACTCAATGCCATTTACTTCTAAACCAAAAGAACAATTATTTCCTTCTATATAATCAGCTCTTTCTATTGTGTAATTGGGGAGGAATGTATAAACCAACACTTCCATAGATTTGATCGTGGTATACAATTATAGCTTTCATACTTGTTTGTTTTTTGTTTGTTTTTTGGTGGGGGGATCATTTCCCGGCTAAAGAAAAAGCAAGAGTAAAAAAAAAGCGTTAATTGAAATTAAGATTTCTCTTCTATCCGATGTCAAATCACCAAAGGAAAATAGAGTTGAAAGATACCAAGTAATGTTGTGTCAAACTACTAGTCTTCTTGTAGTTGGATCTCCAAGTTTTTTGAATGCTCCGAATTCTACTTGATCATCCAAATCTGGGTCAATACCAGCAAAAACATCTCTAAACAAGGTTCTAGCATCACACCAAATACAATTCACATATGTTTTCATAATGCTATATAGAAACTGAAAGTTTTGGTTGCTTCTTAACTATTAATGCAATGCTAACTCATTTTCTGCAGATGCAGTCCAACCAAGTTTTTGGGACACTAACATTCCTAGAAGAAAGAGGTCGATTCTTAAACAGTACTCTATATCACCTGTTGAAAGGCTTCATAGGCAACTGTATAGCATTCTACAAGAACCAGAGTTTGCCAATCTCTCTGCAGGTGAAGAGGAAGATGTACTCATTTATCCTGACAGAAACCAAATGTTTACTACTGAGACTCTTCTTGGGGCTATGCTGCTTAAACCGCCGACTTCCCCTACCAAGGACTCTGAGCAGCCACAATTTCCCATCCTAGAGAACAATCCTTCTTGCTTAACAGATACTACTCTAGGACACTCATCTTCGTAAGTGTCAGTCCTTTCGCATATTGATGTTACTGTCTGTGTTTTTCCTTTTTTGTCAGAGACAGAGAACAAAAATCTTCTTTTTAAGCCTGTCGTTTGTTTGTTATTGTGGTGTTATGCTGTCAAAACTAAGCACTTCTCCTTGGTTTTTTTTTTTGTTGTTGTTGTTGGGAATTGAGAATCATACTATNTCACACCAAATACAATTCACATATGTTTTCATAATGCTATATAGAAACTGAAAGTTTTGGTTGCTTCTTAACTATTAATGCAATGCTAACTCATTTTCTGCAGATGCAGTCCAACCAAGTTTTTGGGACACTAACATTCCTAGAAGAAAGAGGTCGATTCTTAAACAGTACTCTATATCACCTGTTGAAAGGCTTCATAGGCAACTGTATAGCATTCTACAAGAACCAGAGTTTGCCAATCTCTCTGCAGGTGAAGAGGAAGATGTACTCATTTATCCTGACAGAAACCAAATGTTTACTACTGAGACTCTTCTTGGGGCTATGCTGCTTAAACCGCCGACTTCCCCTACCAAGGACTCTGAGCAGCCACAATTTCCCATCCTAGAGAACAATCCTTCTTGCTTAACAGATACTACTCTAGGACACTCATCTTCGTAAGTGTCAGTCCTTTCGCATATTGATGTTACTGTCTGTGTTTTTCCTTTTTTGTCAGAGACAGAGAACAAAAATCTTCTTTTTAAGCCTGTCGTTTGTTTGTTATTGTGGTGTTATGCTGTCAAAACTAAGCACTTCTCCTTGGTTTTTTTTTTTGTTGTTGTTGTTGGGAATTGAGAATCATACTATCGTGTGTGTTTTGGACTCGTGAATGNTGGGTTGGTTGTTGGTATGGTTGTAATGAAGACAAGGATTAGCAAAGACGATATCAACATTCGATTTTAAACAAAATCTTGACGCTTTTTTGTAGTTAGCTACAAGTTTTTCTCTAGTGATGACAAGTTCACTCAAATTCATCATTGAGTGCAAGAATACATTGCCCCTAAAATTTATAGCATATTTTAATCATTTCGTTGCTAATGGTTCCTTATCTTACAAATGGCAACAAATCGTTCTTGTGTTGCCAAATATCAACTTTTAATGACTAGTTGTGTTTTGTGTTTTAAATAGCGATACGAAGTATGTTATTTCTTGTGTTGCTAATTTACTTACACTTAGTTCTTGACCAATATTGGAAAGAAATACTACTAATAATTTACAAAAAGGAACATTCTTCTATTTTTCAAGATGTCCAAAATGATCAATCAAAAAGGAGAGCCTTGGCCTAACTGTGAAGGTGGGGGAATCCTAAAGAGAAGATGTTGTCCCAATACCTTCACCAATGTTTGAATTATCTAATAGTATTTAGGGGAGACATCAAAGAGGATCTCAACCAGCTATAAGGATCCCAAGAAGATTTGGCTTTCCTTGACTAGGTTAGGTATATCTCGCCTCTTTCTCGCTTTCCATTGAAGGATGATGATAGAGGAAGTGGATCGAACTAAAAAGCTTGTGCAACTCTATTTTTCCATTGTTTAAATCTACAAAGTGTTGTTGGTTGTAGAAGGCCACCCTTTTTGTAAGATCTCTAGGATAAATGCATTCTACACATCGAGTCAGAAAAGAGGCCAACCTTTTACACGATAGAAAAAATACTAAGAACCGAGGTTTTAATGGGCAAGGACTGCCCTCCCAGCTCTAGAACAGGCTCTTGCCAAGAAAAAACAGTTTTTGCTTCGTCAACAAACCAATGCAATAGTTTGTTTACCGATGCAAATAGTATTTGCCGATATTTGCATCGATAAGCAGACTATTTGAGTCGGTAAAGGGGCGAAGTAAAAAATGGGCGATGAAAAAAGTATTTGTCTAGGCATATCTCACTAGCAACTACGCCTTGATCTTTGTAAGAATCAAACAATGAATGATATTTGAGACTGTGGGAACTCTCTCTTTGCCACGTAGTGGACCTAGGAACTATAAAATAAAAAATCAATTGCAGCTCACCTTTTAACTTTTTATTTTCTATTTTTTTGTGGTTCCAATTGTTTTCAATTGCAGTGTGTTTCCTCTATAGTAGAAACTTATTAGAATTTATTGACTTGGTTTAAATCTGTTCCAGGGGACGAATAGAGAAGGGTATAAATCCTTGAAAAAGATATATTCTATCTCTGCTCCATTTGGAGCCAAAGGTGTATTTGTAGGCAAGAGAGCTCGTGGTCGACCCCGAATCAAAGTAGCAAGAGGTACATTGCTTTGATCATGCACTCTCTTATTCCCTACATATATATTGTTTGCAAAGTTTGGCATATGTTATGAGGAAATGTGAATAGTAATGCATGTCTAAGTTGAGCTAGCCTGATTGAACATGCCTGAGATGATAATTCTAATTTATGGCATATTTCTAAGTTAGAGTTTGAATGTGTCTTAATATTTTATGACTGTCTGGAAATTCTATCTTGAAGAAAAAACTCCTAGGCTTTGATATCGATTGAACGAACATATGATTTCCTCTCGAAGAATTACAACTTAGACAATCCACCATACTGAATGTTAGAAACAAAAACAAAACAATGAAAAGGGAAACAAACATGACCATTAATGTTGGTTTGTTATCGGTATATTTATTTCATCTAACCCATCCTCTTTGAGAACAAAATAATAAAAACACATTTTCTGCTTAAGTATGTTCCAACTGCACATGGACTGTTGCTAAATGGTCTTTAAATATATAAGTTAAGTCATAATCATGGTACATTAGGAAAGTTCATACTTAATATTGGTCTTTTTCTCAGTCACAATCTCTCTCTCTCTCTTTCACACACACACACACACACTGTGATTGTCATGACCATCATTAGTTCATTGGTAATAAACTTTCAATTAGATACAGGACATCCTTCTGCATCGTATGAGTAATGCTGCATTTTAAAGGTCCTATAGTTTGTGTCCATTTTGAATGATCTATTCTTTCTCCAATTTCAAAACCAAATTTGAAGCATCCTATCAGTAATTCAGAAGGTGTTATTGCTTCAACGTGAAGGGAAATTTATGTTGTACCAACTGGCGAAACCACATAACACACTTTACTCCAGCCAAGAAAGAAGAAACATCCATGCCACATAAACACATGTTGCTTAGTATCTTTAGGTCATAAAATTGTATAAAACTCCTACCTATAGGTTCTGAGAAACATAGGCGGTATGGTAGATAGTTTGAGAGGTTGATTCATGAACTTGAACAAGTCCGGGGGAAAAGGGGGAAAGATCCCCGTTCCTGGTTCTTGTAACTGGATTCTCCGAAACCACAAGAATCCTTAGTTAGGAGAGGACTCCAACTCTAACACCTTTTGAGTGAGATTTTGAGAATAGTTGCTATTTGGAGAGCACAGTATGATGAAAGTTGTAAGATGTATTCAGCGAGTAGTTATTGCCTATCATTGGCCTTTATGTTAGAATCAGTCGGAAGATATGAGAGGCTAATCTCCAACCCATGAACTTGGCCGATATGCAAAGCTATATGACAGCACCCAATTTTCCCAATTTGGCAGTGCGATCTATGATTTATCTTGGATGGTTGATCACTTACCATGACTAATAACATGAGAAAAACTACTAGTAACTCTTCCTCCTAATTGCTTTACTTTCCAAATTTTCTTTTGCTTTGAAAAATTAATTCTCATATTTAATGAATGTATTGAACCTTCAAATGAAACATCCAGTTACATATCTTAACAAGAAGAGAGCCTCTAAGAAACCAAAAGACCATTTGCTAGCCAAGGAGTCCTTTTTGAATGCAATCCCTCCAGCTTCCCTTTCGCTCGATGGAAACTCCAACATGCTTGCAATGAAGGAAATCAAAGTTGAAACACTAGCTACTGACCTACAGAATCAGCTCAGTATCAATGATTCTGGCACGGTGGATGGTTCTCAATATGCTGCAGCCTCTGAATCTGGCTGCAATCTGGAGGAACTGAAAATAGCCTACAAGACATCCCAAATCCCAAATGCTTAACCTTACGCAACGAAATGAACAATGGGAATGGCATTGGAAAGCAACTTTTGGTATTTATTACTTGTCTTTGTTGCTTTTGGTGACCATTTTGGCCATGGCTGTTGAACTTAAGGCATCATTTTCTGTTTTATCATTTGCGAGGTTGTTTGTTAGTACTCAATGGTTCCTGAGAACTGAGAAGTGCCTAAACTACAGGCATGAGGATGTGAAAACACTTCTGGGATTGTGAACCTATCTGTTTTTAGTCTGTTGCTGTGGATTTCAAATTTAATTTGATGACTATGTTGGATTTTTCAAACCTGTTTCAAATTTGATTACCAATTGTGGTCCTGATTGCTGACAAACACAATTTGAGTAGCCCAAGATAAAAAAAAATAGTTGCCCAATACACGAGACACCCGCCTTGGGACAGTTGGATGTATGGTTTTGCAATTTTCGCGAATCAAAACCGGTGAATGTGATATGCTAGTATCTTGTTTTACTCGGGGAATCAAACTGTAAGTAAGGGCCACAATGTAGCTTCCTCAAGATATTAGGAGCACCAATTCAACAACATTGCTCTCTTTTAGACTAACAATGTCAACCTTACAAGAGAGGGTGATAGCAGACTGTTCTATCGCTCTTAGTGTTGTGTTGGGAGCTCTAGTTGCTGGTTCTCATCAATTTGGGAAATAATGGGATAAGAAAAAAGTCCCTTTTGGCATTCACAAACAGCCGTAAAGTAAATGAATTAGAAAAAATGAAGAAGTAAGGAAATGTAATGACTCTTTCTAAAACTATATTAGAAACAGATCTTTTGAGATTTTACTTCACATATGGTGGGTGGAGATATGGTTTCGAGGGGTGACAG